GGTAGGGCGATGAGGATGCTGCCATGTCCCTGGTTTCTCCATATTTCCATTCACTTCTCTTTTACACCTTGCACACAGGACGTTTTCGTCCTTTTTTGGTTCTTTCCCCTTGATTCGTTCAAAGACGCTGGGATGTGGTCTAGGATCCTCTTCTCTATAATATAAGACCAAATTGAATTTTGGCAACTTGTTTTTGAATCCAGATTACACCATGTTCACTCCAAGTGGCTGTGGGAAAGGATTTTCATCCACTGCCATCTTCTTCTTATCATCGAACGTAATTCGTCCTGATTCAATGGCATCGTGCAATACATGGCGGAAAACCAAGCAATTGTTAGTCAAATGTGACCAGGTATTATGCCACTTACAATATTTTTTACCCTTAATTTGTTCAGGGTTTGGCAATTTGTGCTTATCGCTCAATTTTATCTGCTTATCCCTATATAATTTATCAAATATAATGTCAGCTTTGGTCATGTTGAACGAGAACGTTCTAGCCTTTATGTTTCCATCTTTTATGGGCTCATCTTTGCCCGATAGTCTAGGCTTGGCCATTATGGGACAAGTATATGTATCACCTTTGACCAATTCGGCCAAACACATTTCGGCCTGATCGTATGACTCGTCGTCGATGGTATGAACGTCAAAATTTGGGTCTTTGTAATAAGTCCCTTTACTAGAATTTTTCATTTGTTCTTCCCCTCTTATCAGTCGCTCATACCTAATCACATTCGCACTCAACTGAAAAAGGTCAGGAAATTTCTTGTCCTGGAATTTCGTCTTTAAATCAAAGCTCAAGCAGCCCTGAGCGATTTGACAAATACTTTTTCGGGCAGAGGTACAACACACTTGCTTCTTGCTGTCTTGAACCTTTGGAAAAAACTTTCTGCCCATTCGTTTGGCATTTGACGTAGATTCGCCAAATCAGCCAAAGTGATTTCAGACTCAATTTTATAAAATTGAGCGTGAAATAACTGTTCCAATTGTTGCCATGTTTGAACAGAGTTCGCTGGCAAGTTAATGAACCAGGAGAAAGCTACTCCTGTTAACGAACTAGGGAAAAGCCTCATTTTATGGTAATCGGTTACATCACCACTTTGCAATGTGAATCGCCCTATGTGTTCTAGAGTAGACACCTCTCCTAAACCGGTAAACAATGAGAACTCTGGCACTTTGTACCCTCTAGGCTATGGATATGCTTGGTCTACCCAATCAGGATATGGCTTTGTGTACGTCGGCCTAATGACGGGATGCACCCCAAAAGCCATCTGATCCTGTACGATTTCCATAATCTGATTCCTCAACATGACGTTGGGATCATATGGAATTCCTACAGACTGATTAACCGGTTGATTTGCATGAGGCCTGATGTTTGGTCCTTGATTGGCAACAAAATTACCATAATTAGGGCCATTACCATTAGCCTGAACATCTATTCCCTCATTAACACGTGGGGTGTGCTGTCCATTGTTTAGGACATTATCTCTTATGTTTGGATTACCCCCCAAGTTAGGCGTACCACTACCATTGTTCTGATTTGGCACTGCAGTACCCCCTTGGTTTGAAGTAGAGGGACCAGAAAGTGGTTCTACCCCTTGATTCGGATTTAGGACTGAGAGATTATGTCCCACAATTGTCCTAGTTTGAAAATGATTTGCAAGGGGTATAGCCGGTTGACATAATTGGCCTACTAACTTATTCATTGTTTCGTTCAAAATATTTAGTTGTTTGGCCATATTGTCATAGTGTGCATTTCCATTTTGGGTAAATCTTTCCATATTATAAATACTTCGAAGATTTACCTATTCAACAACACTTTGTGTGAGTTCTCCCAGTAATGCACGCATGGTTTGAGGACTCAACTCCGTCATTGGTTCGTAACGACTGTTACTGCTCTGATTCTGTCCATCTGTTCGTGGAGAGGCATGCTGCTCCTCATATCGCTCGATCACAGACTGGACTCCTTTCTGATTTGCTGCTTCCTTATCGGATCTCTGAGGCATATTGTTTCACCTTTTGTACTTTCAACACCAAACACCACTGTCCCACTGGGCGTGCCAAATTGTTTCGCGCGGGTTAGTCGCTAACAATTAAAAGGGATCAGACGATTGTGTAACGGACAAACCTCTTGAGACAAAGTCCCAAAAAGAGGTGTTCTTTTATTGGCGATGACTTTACAATTGGAAATTAGAAACAATGTGCCTCCAAGGGGCGCAAGCACACGAATTACTGAAAGAAAAGTGTTTAAGTCTAAGCTAAGGAAATTAAAATTACATATTCTCTGTTCGAGAGTTTTTGATTCGGTCCTTTGCTCTATGTTTTTTTCTCCCTTTTATACTTCATGGACGATCTCTTTGTGATCAACCGTCTAAAAACTGTTTGATCGTCCTATAACTGCCCACTTTCCTCGTAATGGCCAACTTGTCATGAAAACTGCCTTCTTTTAACTGCCGCCATTACTTTTCGTCGTTCAACCGCTTTCGATTGAATTCCTTGAATCGTGGAACGTGATAGGGTTGCTTTAACAAATGTTTTGATAGCTGCACTTCTCGATAACCACAACGCTTTATGTTTGTTAAAACCTTGGGCGACTTGAAGGTTTGGGCGAGAATAGAGTAACAGCTCTGGACGGTTGTATGGCATTCCATCCGCTCAGATTCTAGGCGACTTGCAAACTTGGGCGATGGCGTTACCGCGTTCTTGGGCCTCCCTATTTGGGCCTTCGTCTTGATTTGTTTGATTGGGTTTCGTTCTTTGGGCTATCTGATTTGGAGATCCTCCAATTGGGCTTCACTACTTGGACTGTTCGATTTTGGCTGAATTTTTATGTGTCAACAGTAACTAACACACGATTGTTAAATAATTGTCAAATCTTGAAATTAAACGTAAATAGACTATTTATTTTATCTGTTTGACTTTTTATTAGAGAGATTAGAACTCAGAAAATATTTGTATCTTATTTTTTATTGCATTTAGCCCCTATTTAGTCACCATTAAAATTATAATTCATTTTTTTCTTTTTTTTTATCAATTTCACATTCTTTAAAAAAATAATATTACTTAATAAAATAATATTACGCATAATTCTAATATTTTTTTTAATCTTTTTTATCACACATTCTTCCAGAAAACACCGTTCCAACCATGAAATTTTCAAATGATATAAAATTGTAACTTTCATTGCTCAACTATGGGAGCCTAATTGTTTTTTTTTTTTTTTTTTTTTTTGCTTAAAAAAATACATTTTGCGATAGCATTATGATGGAGACTGTGAGGTTAAAAATAAAGAAAAAATTTTGTTTGACGTTTATTGAAATGTAATCAAATCGCTTTTGAAGAATGTATTTTGATGAAAAAATGGAGTTCGAACAAGGGATATATAAAATTATTCATACATCCGTTATGCTATATGTACATAATGATTTGTATAATAATTTACATATTCATAATTTGATAAGATTTAATTAGTTGAAAATTCTTCAACCAAATAATAACAAAAAAATAATTTTCCACTCTTTTTTGACACATTATCTATATAAACCATTATTATAAATAGTATCATCCTTCATCTACTTACGAATCATGCTATTACAAATAAATAAGGTGTCAGAAGTGAGTAAAAAATAAATAAATAAATAAATTACATTTTTAGTATTTTCAGTGGAAATTTTGAAAACACTATAAGCATTTAAATAAATTTTATTTTGCCTTTATTTGAGCCTCATTCTTTAAAATATATATGTACACATTCTTAAACCAGGTTTGACATTATTTTAATAGCATATTTTTCAATAAAATAATATTATATGCAAATTCAAAACTTTTCTTTATTTTTTAACTATACATTTCTCGTCAATACACTATTTAAAATGTATTTTTCCCCCAAAATGGGGCTTAAACAAGGACTTACATAGAATTTTGAAAATCCAAAAAACTGAATTCAAAAAAAAAAAAAATTGATAAATTCTGAAAATTAAAAAGTAAAATATTTGAAAAAGTAAAATATAAAATTCTTAAAAAAATTAAAATCTTAAAAAGTAAAAATTCTAAGAAAATGAAATTATATAAGATTCTAGAAAAATAAAAAATTGTCAAAAATTGTTGAATGAATCCAGATAAAAAGAATCTCAATCCAGGCCATTAATTTTTACTTCTATTTCCTATGTTTTGCCAGTATAATTTATTATTTATTTTTTATTTAACTTTTGTGGCCAGAAAAAAATTGGAAGATTCACCAACTTTAGAACGCATGTTACTTGATAAAATATTAACTTAACATGAATCATTTCCATTTAACTGAATAATCAAATTTAATGGAATAAAGTGATCTAAAACAGTTTTTCAAAATTCCAAACCAAACATGTATTCTAATTTCCAGTTTTTTGAAATGAAAAACCAAAAGCCTTTTTTTTTTTTTTTTTTTTTTTTTGGGGGCAAAATTTGTATTCATGACAAACAAAATTCAAGAAGATACCCACATTCCATCATCTATATTATACGCTTTACGACAAAAATATGAGTAAAAACTCAGTTATATGGAGTACTGAATTAAACCGTATTGCAATTTACAGCAATCTTGCTGAGCTAGACATAAAATTACGCTTACCAGCACAATGAATGGCTAAATGCTGTTAATACACGACAAATTTCAGAACCGGGCTGCAAACAGCTTTTTCTGCACCTTCGTGGTCTAAGAATTGGAGGTAGATACTATTCATCTACACATTGACGAGATCGAACTGTTTCCTTCGATAGTAGTTCAACAAGACGTTTTTCAAGCCTTTTGGCTCCCGGACCCGGCTTCAAAACATCAGCATCTCCCCAAACTGAACATTTCTCGTTTTCAGATTCACCTAAACACCAGCCACCAGGTACTGGTTTGCCCGGTTCTCGTTCCAGAACTTCCAGGTCGATGCGGTCAAGAATCGGATCATTTGGGAGAAATGGTGAGGCAAAGGCTGCTCCACTTTGGATCAGATCATCAAATGTACTAGAATTCAGCGGTAAGGGCTCCTGTCCAGAGTCATAAGAAACATACTGCAGGCTGTGGTTGATAGTAGTTCGATTGAATTGCCGTGAATTGCATAGAATGGTCGGGAAATAGACAAGATTTGATGCTGGCGTATTCGACAAGTACATCAGTAGAGTCCTGGGAAGGTTGTCTACACCCAAGACGCAGAACTCAACAAACTTGCGAGTTAAAATAGCAGAAGATGAACCTGTAAGCAAAAGAACCAATGATTCAATTCTACTGTCCCTCTTTTCTGCTTAAATGTCCATACTGATAGAATAAAAGAAGATGTAAACTATCATGTAACACCAGCAAGCTCAACAAGCAGATGGAAAGATACATATGTATATATAAACAAATCCTTATTGCCCACTCACTAGATTGCTACCACTTCTTTCAACTTCAAAAGCGGTATCACTAAGATCACAGAAGGATTCCAAGTACACTTGGAAAGAACAGACTTAAATGCCAAATAACAACTGGCAATATTGTGACCAAGAGTGTTAGTTGTTTGTTTTGGGGGTTCTCATTTTCGAAAATCGAAGATAGGTAGTTGATCAAAACTTTCAAAAGCATAAAATTAAGAGGAAAATGGAAATGAGACAACAGTAGGTAATATATAGTTAAGATTAGTAATGAAATAAAAGAATTGCAAAGGGAAGCAAGATAAGGATAGTGTTCGTCTCTGTTATAAAGCTTTAAGTAGTTCGAAGATGATGTGCAGGATAGAGTCTTTTATAAGTAATCTAAATCAAAGAACTTCGATCACAATAACTTTGCCCCTTGGTCTCAAGAAATGTCCTCTATGTACAGAGTTTTAATCCTAATCCACTCCTCTCAAGATGAGATGAACAAGAAACTAAAAGCTTGTTTGTTAAGTGCTTAAAAATAGTTTAAATTATAACTAGATACAAACCAACGGTAGATAAGTGGATAATACTAGAGGATCCCACAAAATATGTTATGATGAGTAATTTGATCGTTCGCAAACAGTTTATAAACATTAGCCAAACATAGGCAAAAATTGAAATATGAATTTTCTTTTGTGATGAGATCAAAAGCTGCAAAATTAAACCTCCTCCTTTCCATATGGCTTAGGTTTCATGTTAAGCTTTTATTCAGGGGAACAGAGACGGTAAAGTAAGCACATCAGGTGTCAAGCGCCTGAAAATTTATATCCCAATTTGCACAAATTTTTGCCTTCTACATGTTTTATATTACTTTCAGATGGATCTTAATATAAACTTTGGAACTTAGGTGACATTACTACATTGGAATTTGACTAGTTGATATGGTTCTACCAGTGGGATTTAAAATAAATTTTCAAAGAATTTATCTAGGACCAATGAATTTTTTATTTTACTATTTTGAAGTTATTCCCTTTCACTTTTTCACCAAACATTGGTTGTGAAAACCCAAATCTAGTTTAAAATTTGATAATACTCGCACTTCTGTTTGACTGTTTCCCTAGAGAAAATGAAAATGGATACTAGTTGCATCTAAATTTTATGTCAAGCTAGAGCAGCGACATCCACGTTGATTCACCAAATCAAGCATAAATCTAAGAAATATTGATCTTAATGTTTAAAATCAAGATATACACTATTCAAGTTTTGCACCCATTAATAACAAAGAAAACAGGCCCAATAACTCGCATTTTATTGTTAAATTGGAAAAGTTACGATTTAACATTCTGGTCCCTTAAACGCAACAGATAGAATGACAAAGATGCACAGAACAGGTTCCTCGAACATTTTCCAAATCATGCTCAAAACCCTGGCTCTAGAGAACATCTTGGGACAAACAGAAAAAATGATGTTATGAACTCGTGCTTTATCTCGGACCTCTCTCTGGAAGATCTTCCCAGGATCTCTACTGCAATAATCTAATATTCACCCCAAAAATAGACTGAACTGTACAACTTTGTTTAAAACTAATTCATTCTCCTTTCCACCCCTGGAAAAGAAAGGAATAATGAAATAAACTGCTATATATATATATATATATATA